GCTGCTGAATCGCTCAACATAGCTGCCAAAACCAAATAAACAACAACAAATAATAGTATCGTTCTAGCTATATTTCTTTTGACATTTACCTGCTGCTGAATCGCTCAACATAGCTGCCAAAACCAGGTCTCCCTCATTTTCCATCTCATGAGACTTTATTAGAAGAAGATCAGCCTCAGCACATAATTTATCACAATCCCCCCCAGAAGCTGAAATAAAGAAATAAAAAGCATTCTTAGTGTTTCAGAGTATAATATTTGACTTCCTGTTAGTTTACTAACAAGTTATTAAAATTACTTTTAGCTGCCATATAGGTAGATGTGAGATATTTGAAATTCTGGAGATACTTCATAAATTTTGAAAATAAATAAATTGTGTCCTGGTGATTCTGAGTCAATTTTGGTGCAACGTCAAAGCCTATACATGTGTTTTCTTTCATATCTTATTTTTAGCTGTTTTATACTTTGTGTATATTTGAAAATATAATATTTTTACTACTAAAAAAGTAAAAAAGAATCAAATTTTTATTACCAGACTGTTTGCTTTTTTTTTAAGGAACTTGAATGTTAAATAGATATTTTGCCAAACTGGTTATTAAACTAGAAACATATGCTATTTTATTCAGTTATTATGAAAATCAAAAATCAACAAATGCCTCTTATAATTATGTTGTGAAAGGAAACGTGATACATTTTCTCATCCTATCTAGATTTCTTTTCCATGATATTAGTGCAGATGTTACAGTCACATATGTTCTAGTAACCCTAATAATCCTGAGCAGATTAGCTCTATGCATATATATCTTTAAATTCAGCAGACTGGTTTTTTCTCTAAGTTCTCTAAGATCCTACCCTTACGTGAAAAACTTGATTTGTATATTAAGTTTAGTCTTATCTCTAACTGTAATTCTTTTTGAGCTAGTAATATCTTCTAATAATTCACATTCTTTGACTTTGATGAGTAGATGTAGATAATGTTACTTCTAATTATTAGAATATCATATAATTATTGCTTATAATTTTAACGTTAACACACTAATGTTATAACACATGAGATCAAAATACATATTTAAACGAAGATAAAATGCCATTACTGTATAAGTGTAAAGTTACTGGGTAATTATGTTTCTTTGCTTGCTGAAAAATTATTATTAACAAAATTTCATCATATCTTCTTCCCTTCCAAACTTACTGAGAGTGATACGTTTTCTGTTTACCTTTAGTTTCAGAATTATATCCATTTTGATCTTGGGATTCAGAAATAGGGGGGTCTAGGATTCCTGTCACTTGACAGATGGTTTGTAAATCCTCAGGTATCTGGTCTAGACGAGGATCCAGTTTGGCAGGTGAACCAGTGACAGATGGATAACTGTCAGTACTGGACAATGAGAAGGAATCATAACCTTGATCGGGGAAAACTCCAACATTCATGTAATTATGTTGACCATCTTTCATACTCCCCGAAATGTTTTCATGGCCATTAATACCAGCTGTGACCTGAAAAACAATAGAGGCAACTCTATATTAGAGGAATTTGATTTAATTCTGATAATATCTGGGAAAGTTTAACAACTGGTAAACAGTATACTTAATAATCAATTTTGATTATTTGTGAGTACAATTATCTTAGGTGCACTTCAGACAAATATAATAAATCATTAGAAATTAAGGTTATTTGTATTATTGTGTAGCAAACAGATCTCTACTGTGTTGCTGAGCATGTTAAAAAAACTGTTGAATTGAGACCTAATTTGACTTACTTTTTGTTACCAACAATATAGAAGTATGGACTGTCGAAGGAAGCGCTACTAGATGAACTCGCACTATTGTGATCACCACTCCAGTTGCCTGAGTCTCGTCTTCTTACAACATTAGCTGATCCACTGATGTCCCCTTTAGGATTAGGCATAGTATTTAAGGTTTTATCTCTGGATGTACTCGCACTATTGTGATCACCACTCCAGTTGCCTGAGTCTCGTCTTCTTACAACATTAGCTGATCCACTGATGTCCCCTTTAGGATTAGGCATGGTATTTAAGGTTTTATCTCTGGTTTGTAGGTTGCTATCAAATGATTCCAGACTGCTACTACTGTTACGGTTTCCCACAGCAAGATAGTAATTTCCATATAAAGATCTGTGTCTTTTCATTTTCTGAGCAGTTAACACACTTTCTACAGCCTTTCGGTTGATATATGTGTTGGAGTCTACTGTATAGCTTTTGGTACATTTGAAACTGCTATTTTGTTGGCTAAAAGTTCCCAATTTCAGTGAAAGCTCTCTGGAATTTGATACACATAAACACTCATCAGTAGAAAGCTGATGGAAAGACTGAGGACACTTGGATTCGCTCAAACCATTGGATGTACTAATCTGGTTACTCGATGTGGACTCACTTGTTAAAATGTGTGGCAATAGCGAATTGCCAGAGGGTACACAACCATGTAATGCTACAACATTATTGGTGTGTGGTAAAAGATGGCCACCATCTCTACAGGACTGACCATAGTCATGTTGATCAAAAGTATCCTGGGAACATATATGAGTGTTGCATGGTACACTGGAGTCCGATTTTGGAAGAGATAAATAAGGTTTGTGAACGTGATTCTGTCCATATTCATTTGTAAAATAGTCAGGAATTGAGAGTTTCTGTGATGGATATGGGATGTTTTGACGAAAATGTTTAACTCCATTTGTCAGAGTAAAACTTTGGTTTTGTATATGTGACCTTTGTAATTTAACACTGTCAGAGTTTTCATAAGAAGGTTCAAGATATGTTGATTTTAGTTGCATTTGGTAGTTATCCTCCACAGTGTTGTATCTAGTGGATTCTCTATCTAAAACTGTTCCAGATTCACAGAACTCACCAGAAACTGTACAATGAAACCAAAATAATTATTATTTTAATTTATTAGTCCTGAATTTGTTTACTCAACTTGTTACAACTCTTAGTATCCTAAGGAAAGTGATATTAAAAGTTTTATTTGTAGATTGAAAACACTGTTACATAAAAAGTTTAAATTCTTTATTATTATTGGCAATGTAATATTCACCCTACCTTCCAGATCTCTTTGAATCTTGCCAATCATGGTAACATGCTTTGGAGCTGTGGATGCAGAAATGGAGGATCCGTTTGGATTAGCATACAGCAGTAATAATGGCTGAAAATGTCCACGTCTACATTTTTCAATTACCTGTTCCCACTTGGATCCAATCTGCAGGGAAATAGGATGCAATAGTTAGAGATGAGATATATAAAGTAACAAAAACGATTGGTAGTCTATCACCTGACTTTAATAATACAAACTTATAATATTAATATTATTCTGAGAATACATTTTTTTAGAAATAATTTAGTTAAAAAGTACAACTAACAGTGAATCATTTTCTCGATCTAAATCACGAAATGTATTTGTCACACATGTAAAATGAAGGCAAAACATTTATCACGTCCTCTTACAATGATCATTCAGAATTTAAGTGACAAGCTAGTGCTGATTTCTAAACTCGTAGAATGAGATGTTATCTACTTTGGGACAAACCTCACGAACTGTGGCATCATCAAAGTAGATCCAAACCCGAAGCTTTGTATGGAAGAAGAATGTGGAATAATGTTTTCCATAATATGTAACAATTCCAACAAGATGGTGTTTGGTAGCTGTGGCCCAGTGATTATCAACGACAGAGTGAAACATCTAAAAAGCAGAACAATATGATAAAATATGTAAGAAAAATCTTTGAGGTTTTGACTTTAGTCACTGGCAAAAATGTGTCAAGAATTATGTAACAGTAAACTTTAGTTTCCGTATAAAGTTAACACATTAAATTGTTTAGCTGTTCATAAAGAATGCTAAATGGAACAATGACTCAATGACAAAGTTACTAGTTCCATAAAATTCCCAGATTTGATATTAAGTTTATTTGATAATTATATTCTTTACATAACTGAAAGTTTTAGCTTTTATGTTCAATAGATCAGTTGTGAAACAATGTATATTACTTAATCTTAATAAAAAGAGTAACCTACAAGAAAAATTACTGTTAGTAAAAGTAAACAAAATGCAATATGTTTAATCACGTACCAAAAAAAAATTAAAAGCATGCGACTTCAAGGAATGAAATCAAAACTGGCGGCCAAACTGGTAACTGCACTTATAGTATTGATAAGAATTTTACAACAAATATTCATTCATTAGTTAGCTAGGCCCCGTTTTTGTTCAACTTAGGGCACGATAGTGGGTAAAATAAAATACGCGGCCTGGTATACTAATGAATGAATAGTTGCTCTAAAAGTTTTGTCAATGTTATAAGTGTAGCTACCAGTATGGCTGGCAATTTTGATTTCATTCCTTTAAGTCGCACACCCAATCCTTTTTAGGCCGCATTTTTTTTTCACACTTAACGTATTTTTGATTAGATATCATGACTTTTTGTCAATACTCATTCACAAACCACAGCAAGTAAGAAAGTGGCACTCGATAGTAACCCACATTAGCTTTAGGATGGCAATACTATTATTCGGAGGATACATATACTTTACAGAACCAATCAGATTCTTTAAAATATATCGTAGTAGCTTTTCCTCTCTAAAACAGTGTTAATAGCTTTCTTTATAGTAACGCCATGGAATCTAGATTAACAATTTCTTGTCATCAACCACATGCATTCGCTAAAGCCGTATAGCATTATTATTTACGTTAATACCACGTGACGCTAAACGCTCTTTAATTAGAAGAATTTCATAAAATCTAACAAACTTTTACTTAAAAGTTGGCAGTGAATAATGAATAATATCCGTCTACCCATATGATTATTTGGAAAACTTGAGCTGGCAACTGCTAATCTAATTTGCTTGGCCTAACCACTACTTATGTATTTGCACGTCCTTTCACCCTATAGTTTTGATGCTTTGAATCAGCTAGCTTTGATTCGAATAACAAAAAACTAAAAACGGTCCACTTTTACTCTTAGGTGAAGCTGCAGTAAAAGTTTTAGATCGATATCTCCCGTGACTTTTTGCGTAGGCGTGCGCAAACATTTTGGTCAAAATTGAGCGATTTTGGTTGAATAACTTTGCAAATGTGACTTATATTTAGACGAAATTTTACATCTAATTATAGGTTGTAAAGATCTACCAGTGTTCCACATTTGAAAAAATCCAGGAAAATTAAATATATTTTTCTATCAAATAAAGTTTCCGCACTTTCGGTGCGAAGAAAATAAAAGGATGCAACTCAATCAAAATTGGATATTTTATATCTCGTGCATTTCTTAATGGATTGCCTTTAAATTTGGTATGTGAAGTAAAGGCCCAAAAGAGCATATCCACTGAAAATATGTAATAGTTGAATTACCACAGTCCGAGCTACAGAAAGTGGAATATTGCTAAACTATCATTTTTGTTAATTAATAACACACAGTATGTCCTGCAGGTCGTTTTGACCGCAGGACACACTACCATGTGTTTTGATTTATCTTTATAAATCCCTATGCTAAAGCAAACTTCTTCATTTAGTGGGTATTAGAATTGTTTATAAACGTGATTTCATGTGATATCATTATGATGCACAGCTTATAAATAGAATTTTAAAGCATTTGTATGGTCGTGAACAATGTTTCATAGTATCTATGTAGTGCTTTCAAAATATAATACTTCATGTTCAAATCACAAGGTGTGATGAAACAATTATTGGCGTTTTCAAATAAGAATAGTACAGTTCATTTAGAATTGTACAAACACTATATCTTAATTTGTTAAAAACACTAATAAACATGACTTAAACACTACCTCCGTAACATTTCTCGATGAAAAAAGAACAGGAATGTTAGAATACTGAGGTTACCAGTAAATTTAAAAGTGTATACGCCACCTTTTGGCGTAAAATATCACTTTCTTGGTGCACTACTTTCGGCAATTTTAACAGTATATTTTGACTTACATCTTGTATCTTGAGAATCATGCCAATGGACTTAAAAACCTCCAGGATACGTTCTAATGTAGGCCTCTCAGAGTCCCAGATGAGTCCAATACTCACTGTAACAATCAAATTGTATTTACTTTCAGTCAATAAAAAAATAACAATATTTTATAACAATTGCAAAAATATCTTTATTTTGTTTGTTACAAATTACAAAGTATAACTTTGGACCAAAGCAGAACCAGATCTGCACTGTTTGTTACAAATTACAAAGTATAACATTGGACCAAAGCAGAACCAGATCTGCACTGTTTGTTACAAAGTACAACTTTGGATCAAAGCAGAACCAGATCTGCACGAACTTTTATCAAACATTCATGTGGATGCATGCGGTAATTTTGTACCTTTTAAACTAACTCATAGTTTAAAGTTTAAGCTGAAGTCTCAGATATGGTGCTTTACTAGACTTGCGATAAATGGATAAACTTAGAGTCAAGACGAACACTTTATACAGTTTAGAATTCATTACTTTTCATTCTAATGGAATCCATCATTGTTGTTTGGCACTTCAGATGTAGAGAGGAGATAACGTTACATGAAGATTCTGAAAACGATTTATTCAACGATTTCTGTAGAAAGAAAACTTTTCGCTACTCTAGGAATTAATTACATCATTCTGTTGGAATCCATGATTTTTGTTTGGCACTTCAGATGTCAGGAGAAGATAACGTTACATGACGAGTCTCAAATGTTCTATTCAATGATTTCTGTAGAAAGAAAACATTTCGCTACTCTAGGAATTAATTACATCATTCTGTTGGAATCCATGATTTTTGTTTGGCACTTCAGATGTCAGGAGAAGATAACGTTACATGACGAGTCTCAAATGTTTTATTCAATGATTTCTGTAGAAAGAAAACATTTCGCTACTCTAGAAATTAAATTTTAGACATTTCTGTTTGAAAAGGTCTTTTATAATAATAATGACAATTTATATTTGATTTTAAATTCTCCTCTAAGTAGAATATCTATAAAGGAATTATTTCTAAAAATGTTTATTATAACATTAGTGTAAAAGAGCCCCAGGAGGGTACTAAAATACTAAAACTAAAAACCATATAATATTTCGGATAGTACATTGCTAACGAGAATAATACTTTTATGCAAAAGGTAGGTTGATGGTTAATGAGTACGTTCACTAATCAAACTTTGCTAAAATAAATTCTAAATGTTATACCCCTGTAAACTCAAGTAAGTGTATTCTAAAAATTAGAATTTAAAACATGGAGAATATCGTGAAAATTTCCATATTAGTCATATTTGCCTTGACTACCTTGGTAATTCTGAGAAATTCATAACAGAATACGAATTAGGAATCCACTATACCAACTTTACTGAAAAGCCAAATGACTCACCGATTTCGGGATGGTTCATGAGAACTCGACAAATCTGCATTTTTGCCCCACAAGTACTCTACAGCAAAGAGAGAAAAGTATAAAACAGGCTACTAATTTAAGACAATTGATATCGTGAATACAAATAAATAGAAGCTTATTATCCTGCTTCGTGAAAAGACAAACTAGAAACGTTTATAGCAAAAACAACTGTTAACTCAGAGTTACTTTCTTAGTTATTGGTGAAACAGTGCAGAAGTGAAACCCAAGCTAATTTCCTATCTACTAGGAAGAATAAGCAGCTGCAAATTCTACTTTATTTGTGAAATCAGGCAACTGTAAGTTTCACTTTACTTTCTTAGCTATTGGTGAAACAGTGCAAAAGTGAAACCCAAACTAGTTGATTACCTACTAGAGAAACCAGGCAGCTGTAAATCCCACTTTACTTGTGAAACCAAGCAGCTGTAAGCCTTAAATTACTTCTTACTGGTGAAACCAAGTATTATACTCTTTGGTGTTTTAAGATAATGGTGAATTTGTGGTGAACACACTCTATTTTTTGTGTGATAATTAATTTTGTAACTCACTGGACATTCTCTTGTGTCCCCCATTCCTCCAGCTTTTCTGAGTAATTGTCCAAAGACGTCGGCAGGATCCCTGTGCTGATTTACCATGAGTTCTGCTTGTGAACTATAGGAAGTAATATATATATATATGATCATTATTTCTTACGTTTTGTTCAGTTTAATTAAATGGAAAATATTAATAATGTTATTATGATGCTTACAAGCTAAAATACGTAAAGAGAATTAGTTCCAAAATTCCTAATAAGTTCATTTAGTAGGCTTATGCTTTTCAGCAATTTTTCTCATTTTGGAAATGATTCTAGTTATCAGAATGACTAATACCCTTCTAATCACAGTTATTCTAATCGTATATTCATTCTCGATATATTTGTATCATTCCTTTTTTAACACGCTTTATTCAAATGCCAACTATACTGGATATAATGGTGTATTTTGTGCTAATAATTACTATTAACTGAATTGGATATAATGGTGTATTTCGTGCTAGTAATTATTGTTAACTAAACTGGATATAATGGTGTATTTCGTGCCAGTAATTATTGTTAACTGAACTGGATATAATGGTGTATTTCGTGCCAGTAATTATTGTTAACTGAACTGGATATAATGGTATATTTCGTGCCAGTAATTATTATTAACTAAACTGGATATAATGGTGTATTTCGTGCCAATAATTATTATTAACTGAACTGGATATAGTGGTGTATTTCGTGCCAGTAATTATTGTTAATTGTACTGGATATAATGGTGTATTTCGTGCTAGTAATTTATTGTTAATTGTACTTGATATAGTGGTGTATTTCGTGCCAGTAATTATTGTTAATTGTACAGGATATAATGGTGTATTTCGTGCCAGTAATTTATTGTTAATTGTACTGGATATAATGATGTATTTCGTGCCAGAAATTATTGTTAATTGTACAGGATATAATGGTGTATTTCGTGCTAGTAATTATTGTTAACTGTTAGATAAATACTTAGTTGTTCTATTTTATAATCAGAGTACTTATGTCATCACTGAAAATAATAGTACCTATGATGTTAATAAAGACTTTTTAAATAAACACAAAGTTGTTTTATTGAAGCAACACGCTTGATTTATAGGCTGATTAGAGTACTTATATCACTATTGGATATAATTGCAACCAGTACTTAAAATATTAATAGCTTGGTATAGAAGAAAAGTGGTAATACCATGTATTGTTTATTTCATAGTTCTCAAAAGGAATAATAAAACAAATTAATTTTCTGGAAATTTCATTAAAATATTAAAAAGAAGTGTGCGCTTTATTAAAAAAACCTTTGTAGTTAAGTAACTATACTTAGCTTATAAATTTTATTTCTGATCTATATAATAAATTCTGCAACAAAAACTTGGTTAACAACAGACATAAACACTAATACAATAATTTGGTTAGTAAACACACGTTGGCACAGCGTGAACATATTGTATTTAAACAAATATTCCGATATTTAACACTTACCAAAGAGACGATGTCGAAACGTAGTGAACCATCTGAGTAAATGACAGCGGTTCAGAGGTGGCGCCACATGCATGGCAAACGGTCTGTAAAAACAAAACGGTAAAGGAATTAAAAAGTCAATCAATGGCTGGTAATTAATACTTTTGAAGCTAAAACTAAACCTGGATAACTTCAGTTGATTCAAGACTTTGATTTTAGAAACTAGAAACGTCAAAAACTTTTGACTATAAAAATTAACATGACTAATAATAACACTTTATATTATTATTATTTCTTATCAATTTTAATCAAACTGTTCACAACATAGGAGCTTCTCTCTAGAGTTTTTAAAATAAAAATAAATTTGGGAAATCGTAAGTTTTCAAATAAAGTTCAATACATATAGTAAAGTTTATTTAATTTTTCTCGTGTACAAACTATAAATCAACATATGACAATCCTCACATAAAATATAAGTAGAAACAATTCCAATGAAGTTATTTACCTGTTCCACCAGAGTCATGGCGAACTTCTGGTGTGGAATACAATGGGACGCACTACACATGTCTTCTGACTCCTGATTGGCTATATGGAAATGAATCTGCCGCAGGATATTTTCCTAAAAATCATTAAAAAATATATTAGCTGTCATAGGTTATGCATGAATTAGGAATTTGTTGCTATCAATCACTATTACCCATTAAAAAACATATTAGCTGTAATAGGTTATGCATGAATTAGGAATTTGTTGCTATTAATCACTATTACCCATTAAAAAACATATTAGCTGTCATAGGTTATGCATGAATTAGCAATTTGTTGCTATTAATCACTATTACCCATTAAAAAACATATTAGCTGTCATAGGTTATGCATGAATTAGGAATTTGTTGCTATCAATCACTATTACCCATTAAAAAACATATTAGCTGTAATAGGTTATGCATGAATTAGGAATTTGTTGCTATTAATCACTATTACTTTAGATTAATGATATATATATCTGTGAATACGTGCCTGTGTGTAATAATATATATTATTTGATTTTTCATTGAGTCTCTAAAGTTTCTCTCCATATGTGTCTATGTGTAATAATATATATTATGTGATTCTTCATTGAGTCTGTAAAGTTCCTCTCCATATGTTTCTATGCGTACTAAAGTTCCTCTCCATATAATGGCTGGAGACGGCTTGAATGGGTAATGATAAAAATCTTTAATGTAAGTTTAACATAACAGCAAATTTACAACGTTTCGACAAGGTTTTGTCATCATCAGGTACCTTGTTTTCACCAGTTCTGGCAATAAAACATTTTCCATGATAATTCATTTTCGAAACATATCGAAACTAGTTAGATGTTAGTTCCATAACATTAGCCCCCCCCCCCCCACCGGTGGCACAAAGGAATGTCTGCAGATTTACAACGCTAGAATCCGTGGTGGGCAGAGCACAGATAGCCATTGTGTAGCTTTGTGCTTAATTACAAACAAACCATAACATTATATAATCAATATAAAATACGGTTCTATAATAAATATCACAATATTATACCATGCCCTATTTAAAATTTTCAAGCAGTTTCTTACAGTTTGTATTACTTACAAAACATTCCGCTGCATCATCCATCCCTCCCAGTTGAAAGCGTCTCTGGTGGAAAGTGTCAGCTAAAGCACGTCTCAGAGCATCTGGTGGTAGCGCCGACTCATGACTGTACTGAAGCTGTGCAAACAGCTCCTGAAAGGAGATACGAGTCAATATAACATTTTCTTTATTACTGATAACTTTCTGAGACTAAAAGATAAATCCGAAATTAAAGTTGTATGAATAAAGGTAAAAATCGCTTACAAACTGAAAACTAAAGCGCGCGATAAAGACAGTTTGTCTCGCAATAGTTTCGAGAAAATTCACAGAATCAGTTAATATACTATAACAAATATTAAACAAAAATGAACAACAATACGACAATTCTAACAGTTAAAAATCAGACAAATCAACAGTAATTTGAAGAAAAAAAAATCTTTGTAAGCATTCAATCTCCCTTTTTTTTTGAAGTAGAAAGGCCATGCTAGATTCACTACATAAACACTATTTTCTTCGACATTTATTGCTTTGTTTCACCACTCTTAGCCTACATTTCAGAATGTAATTGAAGAAGTAGCGAACATTTGTATAAATAGATGTTTGACCTGACATTTGACCCTCGAGTTCTCCTATGGTAAATTTGATGTTAAATATTTAGATTTTGTAACATTTAGAACTTACCTTGAGGGCACAAAAGATACAGGACTCGGCCATGCATAAATGTCCATTAAGCTCTCGGAAACTTCGACGAAATATATCCAAGTGCCATAGAACCTAATGAAGAGAGAAAAGTATTAATGTTTAGAAAACTACGTGATTTTTGTCGTTTTTTTCGTTATCTGTGTTCGTGTGTACTTGTTACGGACTTTATAGGTACAGTGATCTCACTTCACGTGCTAGTCAAGTGCTGTTGACCACCAAGGCTACTTTACATCATCTATATAACCTGTTTCGACCAAAGTAAAAACTGGTTATATGTGATAAAACAAAATAAACTTTCAGGTAAATTTGAAAGCTTGTCTGAATCTTTAAAAGCTATCTCTACATTGTGTACTTTGTTACACTGTGTAGTATATTAACCGTGGGTTGTGCAGTAATATTGTTTAGAAAACTCTGTCTTTGTAACGTTTAGTTTGTTACACTATGTGCAGTAATATTGTTTAAAAGATTGTCTTTGTAACGTTTAGCTTGTTACACTATGTAGTATATTAACCGTGGGTTGTGCAGTAATATTGTTTAGAAAACTCTGTCTTTGTAACGTTTAGCTTGTTACACTATGTAGTATATTAACCGTGGGCTGTGCAGTAATATTGTTTAAAAGATTGTCTTTGTAACGTTTAGCTTGTTACTGCGCAGTACGTTAGCCAAGAACTTTGGAGTAATTTTATAAAAACCTATTTTTCCAAGTTATACAACGAGAAATGTTGTATTGAACTAGAAAATCTATCTTGGCCTAAAACGTCTGTGATTTTCTTAAACATTTAGCAACAGTGTGGTCAGTAACATTAGTATTCGTATCCACCACGCAACTTAAATGTATTTATTTTTTGATAAGTGCTTGATATATTGTTACGAATCCATCAATGAGAATACTATCACCGTTTTTAACGTTACAAGGAAAAGGGTTTTAGGCCAACTAACAACATAAGTAGCAGTGCACATGGGATTTTAACGTTACAAGGAAAGTGTTTTAGGCCAACTAACAACATAAGTAGCAGT